TGTGTACTCATGTCCTGGACGCTTCCTCGTGGCGGTCGCTGAGTGGTTGGGTTACACCCTTCTTCCAGCTAAGATCCGGGACACAAAATTCCGCTTGAGTCGCTTCACTGACTCATGGCGCTCGGCTCGCTGCCTATCGAGTGTACTCTTTATCGAACGCTATGGCTGAGGGTCAGGGTAGTTTTCCTGTCAGATGGGGAAGTCCTGGCAGTGTTCTAATCCAACCACCCAACTATGAGTTACGCCACCAATAATAAATCTATGCTGCATCGGTCGTCGCGCAGTAGCCTTAGGCAAAGCGTCACCTTATTTGCTGCGTACAGCGGGGTTGATAAGCGAACACATGCCACTGCTGGCTCCTTCCTTCCTTCTTCTTCCCCTGCATATGCTCTCCACCTTCCCCTTTCAAGTAACCCACTACCTCTTCCAGTCCAGGTCGTCACCACCCATACGGTTGCCTGCCGCCGAAATCGTATGCCTCAGCGCAAAGCGCGCAACATCAGGTCTTGGAACTTGTGCATATTACTGGACCGGACTACAAGTGAGCGTCTCGAGCGTCGCATTACATTGCTCGCGATGGAACTGGCGCGCTACCACATCTATATTGCGCCGCTCAGTGAGACTCAGATCGTTGAGCAAGATAAGTTACATGGAGCTGGTGCCGGCTATACGTTCTACTGGGTGGGAAGCGACACCTCAGCACCACGTGAACATGCGGTCGGATTTGCACTATCCGATCGCCTAATTGACCTGCTGGCATCAGTGCGCGACTGTTGTCTGTTCGCCTACAACTCAGGTGAGGTAAGTTTCTCACTTTTATAAGCACGTATGGTTCGACCATGTGTTATCCTGATGACACGCGTGATCAGTTCTACACTCAGCTATACTCCGTGATACGGTCTGCGCCTTGGAGCAACCGACTAGTTCTACTAGGTGATTTCAACGCGCGCGTTGGGCGTGCTGCATCGGTGTGGACAGATGTCATCGGTCTGCATGGCATTTGTTCAGCGAATGCGAACGGTGACAGGCTGCTCTCACTGTGTGCCACTCACGGCCTGACGATCACGAACACTCGGTTTGCACTGAGTGCGAGTGATATAGCAACTTGGACGCACCCACGGAGTGGTCACGCTCACCTGCTCAACTATGTCATCATACGTCAGCGTGATATGCGTGAAGTGCGCATGGCACGTGTACTGCGTGGAGCTGAGTGTGGCACTGATCATAAGTCAGTGCGGACCAAACTGTACATATATTTTCGTAAATCTATATATTGCTCCCTTGCCGTGTACCGGCTGAAATATAATGTCCTTTCTCTAGGAACTATGGAGAAACGGATGGAGCTGGAGAAGGTGATAGCTGCACGCCTGTGAGATGTGGAATGCATAATCACAGTGGGCTACCGGTGGTACCACCTTTGTGACCAGGTGACAGCCGCTGCCAAGAAGACGATCGGGCACGCAGACCGTAAGCGGCCTGATTGGTTTGATGAGAACACCGCGACGATTGGCGCACATGTGGCAGACCCCAGTGACTGGGGAAGAAGAGTCAGTTTCACAAGATTCGATGGCGACTGACTCGAGGGCTCCGTTGCATTAAAAACACATGATAGACGGAGAAGGCGAAGAATTTAGACTGCTACGTAATACGCCGCCAACACAAGAAATTCTTTGACTCGAAGGCGGTGTGTGGACCGAGGTTAGAGCCGATAAGGGCGCTGAGGTTGATGGTAGTTCAGGCGCTACCTGCACACAGACGGCAGACATAATGTAGCTCTGACAAAAACACTTTGACTGTCACTTAAACAATCGTTCAGAGATTGACTAGCCTACTTTGAACGGCCTGAGACAGCACAAGGTCGAGGTGGATTAGACGGACATGCCGACAGTGGATGAAACGCAGAGAGCACTTGCTCAACTGCGAAACGGCGAGTGTGCCGTTACCGACGGGATCCCGCCTGCATTGTTGAAACATGGCGGACCTGCGTTGGTGAATCTGCTGCACCACTTGGTGCAACACGTGTGGATTGAGGAGGACGTGCCTCCTGAGCTGAAGGATGCCCTTCAGCTATCACTGTACGTGAGCAAAGAAAGCAAGCAATGTTGTACGAATTATCATGGTAGCAACTTGCTAAGTTGTGTGGGCAAGGTGATTGCCCGAATCCTGCTCAACCGCCTCGTCAGTCAAGTTGTGGAGGTGAATGTGGCGGAAGAGCACTGTGGATTCCGTTCTTGTCGAGCACCATCGATATGGTGTTTGCGGCTCATCAGTTGCAGGAGAACTGTAGAGAACGACACCAGGTATTGTACTCACTGTTTCTTGGTTTCACCAAAGCATTTGATACGATGAACCGCAAGGCAATGTGACTGGTGTTTGGTAAGTTTGGTTGCCCGCGTAAGTTTGTAAGTTTAATTGAATGTCTGCACAGTGGTTTGCGGACGAGGGTGCAGCTGAGTGGACAGAACTCTGATGACTTTGCAGTTGTCTCTGGTCTGAAGCAAGGCTGTGTCTTAGCTCCTGCCCTGTTTAATATTTATCTTCATGCAATGATTTCTGGTGCTTTTGATGCGACTTGTGCTTACAGTGTTCGTGTGGAGCACCCTATTGATGGTGGGTTGTTGAACATCCGTCGTTTCATTGCGAGAACCCTAGTCTGTGAGACAACTATCCGTAGGTTGCTGTTTGCTGACGACTGTGCGTTGTTTGCACAGAGCCCGGATGAGTTGCAGCAGAGGACTAGTGCTCTGCCTTCGACAGTGACCAAATTAGGGCTCGTCACCAACACGAATAAGTGTCTGGCTCTTTCAACCTTCACCGGCAGTGCAAGTTGCGATGATGCAAAAATCAGTATTAGTGATGAAATGTTGGAAACCACCCTCCGCTTCTGCTACCTTGGGAGTGTGGTTTCGACTGCCCAGCAAATATCCGGTGAGCTTCATGTCCGCGACTCGAAGGCAGCGGCGTTCAGGTTGCTAGAGTAGCTAGTATGGAACCACCACCAGCTTCCCGTTTCCACAAAGCTGATGGTGTATAAATCCGCGGTGCTGTCTGTTCTTCTATACGGCAGCGAAACGTGGACGATGTACCGGCCAGACGTAAGATATCTCGATCGGTTTCATCAACAGTGTCTGCGACGGATTCTGCGCATCGGTTGGTGCGACAGAGTTGCAGCCACTGAACTGCTGGGCCGAAGTGGAATGTATGCAGTGGACTGCATACTTTTTCTGAGACATCTGAGGTGGCTCGGTCATAGTTGGCGCATGGATTCGGCGCGGATGCCGTAAAAACTATTATATGGTCAGGTGCGTATTGGGAAGTGGCATGTGAGGAAACCGAAGCTTCGTTACCAGGACATGATCAAGGTGAGCCTATCACCTTCTAATGTTGATTTCTAGTGTTGGGAATCAATGAGGGTTGAGTAGCGTGCACGGCGCGGTGTGATCACGAAGGCCGTTGCCGACGTACTGGAGAAAGCCCTCGTGTATGCGAAGAAGAAGCGGTAGGTGCAGAAGGGACAGGCATCGATGGGGTGTAATCCATAGACATCGAGCGCATGGTGCTGTGGCACATGCTGTTCTGAGTGCTTGAATCAGAGAGGTCTAGTGAACCACCAGCGAGGCCCCTCGCGTCCAGTATCGAAACGACGACTGGCCCTGCTGAGAGTGTAAGCAGAACTGGTGGAGCGTTGGTAAGTACGCTGCATTCGCTTCCATTCGATTAACTAACCGCGTGTTTACGTGTTGAGTTTCTTTGCTGCAGGTAGTTGGTTTGCTATAGTGTATTAATGTGTATTTTGTTACCTCATTTTAACGTCTATCTGAATAATATTCTAGGAACTTGTATACGTCGCTTAATCGAAAGATGATTAACTTCCTTAATTTTTTCGTATTTGTTGCATTTTTCAAAAAATATCTTTCTTTGACTTTATCGCGGTTTTGTTGATAACGAATTTATTCCGTATGCTAATTTAGCGAGGAGATATGTCGGCATTTCCGTGTGCTTTATCAATTAGATTTTATTTGATATAGCCATTTCAAATGATTGGCTGTCGCTTGACATTCCCGGTTTGACTGCGCTTGATGTAAATATTGACAAGGTGCCTACCTGTCTAACACCCTCCACTTCGATTACTGGCTCCAAGATACTGTAAATCATTGCTTCGGGGACGGAGTGTACGGTCCTCGTGGCCATGCTAGGCTCGAAGAGCGGTTCCATGCACTCAGTGTAGAGCGGACTACGGTACAGCCACCGCCTTGTGTGCGCTTGATTCTCCAAATACAGCGTGCTTGTGTTTGCCTGTGAAGGCGTGTGTGTCGGCTCCATTGATGAAGCGTGGCTCCCATCCACAAGCCTCTCGGCCTTATTCCTTCGGGTTTACACTGGATATGGGGTGTGTGGATGGAGCTGTGGGTGGTGCAGTGCAAGCCACCCACGATCCCTTTGTAGACACAAGTTTCCTATGACTGTCCGCTTGGAGGCCACAGGGACAGACAAATCCGGAATCGGATGCGGTCAACCATATTGAAGTCCCTGCAGATGCAAAAGAATCCTCAATGCTACGAAGTTAGTATTTGTCGATCTAACGGTGCGAACACCACCGCAAGGCGTTTTGGCGCTAGGCTATGCCGACAGCGTGAACGGGCTTCACGCGGGGCGCGCAATGAGCCGGTCAAATATGGAATACAGCTGCGATGTAGTGGCCGGTAAACGCGCGTGGGCACCCACTGAGTTAAGGAGGGCCGTGCATTAACGCGAACAAACGGCCAACTATGATAAACTAGTCACGCGGAGAGCGTCCACATTGGTTAAATCCAAGACGCCGACGGTGCTGGGACCAAAGTTTCCAGTACCAGAACATTTAGTTGATCCATAAATAAACGTCCTTTTCATAGAACATGCGCCCTCAACCGAGAGTCGGCTTTCAGCATCTGCGGTTCTCAAATACTTATCTCTCTATTTCGTTCTGATATGTTTTCCTTTGTATCCTTCTCTCACTACAGGCTTTTCAAATGCGACATGATTTCAACACTTCAGTACTTGCTTTAAAGACCAAAAAGATGAAAATACTTGAAGAATTACAGCAGATCAATGTTTCCTTACGCGATTTACAAGGTGACCTCCCGGCGGATGAACCAATTCTGCAACTGGAGTTGCCCACATTGGGAATAGATGAGCATCCGGAACAGTGAGTTACACTCAAACCTTCCTTTGGTTAAAACAGTTGTCTATTCACCCACATCGCGTCCTGACATACAATTATCTTGTTGTGAATTCTGCTCACATTGGCAATTGCAGAGTAGAAACATAGGTTCCTGAACGACGTTGGACCTTATGTCGTTGTCCAACACTAGCATGTAAGTGAAATCATTGGGGCTATCTTGTAACGAAGATACGTCTACTTCAAGCAAATTTTAATATTTTGATGCTTCTCATGGTTTTGGATGGGCAGTGGCCATCATTAGGACGGAATAGGAAGTGGCTACCTGGTGCAACAAACATTGAGAGGGCCGATCGCAGGATAACGGCTTTGACACCAGTATTTTGCAACCTGATTTAAACGGAACCGTTCTTTTCAAGTGAACAGCGAGGTACAATTCTGAGCTACAATTTGAATGCACCAGAGTAACGAGGACCAACGCATCATTCAAAATGCTTGCGTTGAGACTGGGACGGGCGGTGTGTTAAGAACGACGTCTACGGTTATACTGAAGGCTGTATGGACGAAACGTATGCAGGAAAACTTAGAAATAAATATTCTGTTAGCGTCAATGAGAGCAATCTCAGATTTCCTCTGCATTTTGGCCACAGAATCTCATAGAAACTGTACCCCTGCAAAGACTTGAAGCCCATAGGCTGAATCACTAAAAGAATGTTGACCGAAGCTTGAAACTCCTAGGTACATTATTTATTCAATGATCAAGTGCGTGCCATATCGTCATTTTGGTCGCAGACTAAATGACAACCTCTTACAGTGTATGAAGATGGTCATGCAATAACGTGGGCAGTAATCGGTTGATCAGGGTGTGTTTCGGGTGTTTCGTTTTAGATCTATCAAGAACTAGCACCTTATCATTTCCTGGCTCAACGATTTGCTCAAGAAGGAACACTCAAGGGATTTTCCTATCGTTCCAGTCCATCTGAATCTGTTTCCTCTCATATTGTTTGAACCGTTTAAGCATGACCTCTAGCTGAATCATGCATCTGGAAATCATACACGCATATAGGGAGGTTAAAAACAGTCTGTCTGTTGCTGATCCACTAAGAATGACCAACCATGAAAAATGTTCAAAAATTTGGTCCTTTAGACACAAGTGTTTATTCGACAAAGTTAATTCGTCGAAAATTACAGTACGTATGGTAAGCTAAACTCCTCGACATAAATTGTTCGGTCACATCCATAACTAACGACGTTTATGGGCCGATGAATTACCTTTTTTGACTCATTTAAACACACTGTAAGTAGCCCACATGAACTTCAGCCAATCCGTGTCTAGTAATCGAATCTGTTAAGTGCGTTTCCCACTGGTTGTCTCACCTGCTCGCTTGATCCAGCATTTCACTCTGATAGGACACTCCCATCGCAGAAAAATAATTAGAACACGTACACAGATGTTCTAGATGATGGCTAGTTTGTGTACTTGTTGGACTGCACCACCGCTTTCAAACGTTCTAACGATATATCAGTGGATCCAGGAGCATATAGTTACAGCCCCTGCCAAGAAATCAGACACTTTAAAAGCAGTCATCTTGAAATGTATGTCAAGTCAACCAGGTAATCTTTCCAAACAATGCGTTGAAAACCCATCCTCTTGACGAAGTGAATAAACGTCTGACCGAGGAAGCCGAATTTGAGCAATCATTGACTCAGCGAGCCCACGGGATCGTCCATGGATAACAATAGGTGCCAGTAACAATGGGCAAAAATATTCCTCCCCTGAGTATTATCACTTGGGCACGCTAGAGTCCGTCTGTTAATCAACAGTTTTAGCTGAAACAATGCGAAAGCAATACCACTGAGTGTTTGAATCGACTGTTAGCTACCGATGACTGCGTGGAACCCTACCCAATTGCAAAAGTAACAGTGGAAACTCAGCCTGAACCCCACGCCTTCGTGAACTAGGATAGTGGTTATGATGAGAGTGTACTCTTTGTGCGAACTGTCATAATTCGCGCCTTCATTACAGTACAACGTATAGGTGCCGCCTTAGTAAATAAAACCGTGGTGCCATTCAGTTCCTACAGTGTAGTACACGGTAGGAACATTCATTGCTAACAAACATAGAGAGCAACTTTCCATCACTTGTTTTGACATGCTGTGTACTGGTTGTTCAACATTCCCTTGCTTACGGTTACATGTTAATTCGTAGAGTTTCTTCATTCAAATCTGCACTAGAGAACTCGTTTACAATAAGGCAACGCTGTTGAAGTTCAAAAAAGAAAAAGAGGGCTTGGCGGCTACTGAGACTTCACATAATCCACCGAAACCGCAGCTGAATGCTCCTACCAAGGTGAGTAAATGCTTTCCGTGTGTTTGAGAAATTCATCACATGGAGGGAGGAAGCACCGGACTTTCTCTCTTTCAATGCACTTGCTACCTCCATGGATAAAGTGTGCGACCTGTTATTCGTGTAGATTCCAGCACTCCATCGAACTTCGTGATTTCATCACTCTTCATACATCACCTGAATCCTGCTAAGCTGAGATGAGTCTTCTCATTTAGAGCTTCTGCGATGTTTTCATCACGAATGCGACACAGACCTCACTTATCCACTAGCTCGCTTTATGATACTGGGACCGATGCAGAGACACCGCACCCTACACAACGGATATAGTTTGCAAGATGTTTAAGATTTTCACTACATCAGCTGGCTCCTACAATATCACCACATCTTGTTATTTAGAGATAAATTCAATCTTACTAAAAGAGTCGGATTCGCTAACTACATTATTCCTTTGTGAAGCAAAACTTCTCAACACAAGTACATTATCAATCGACGCTATCTCACGGCTATTCACTGTTGCTTCCTCTGACAAATTTTCTCGGATGTGAATTAGCGCACCAATCGATCTCAACAAGCTTACCAAACTTTGATCATGTTAGGAGCCAAATACAAGGGAATTTATCTCAATTCGTCAGCTTGGGGCACATACCAACTGCGTGGTGGTGTCCGAGTTTTCATCCAGCAATCACTTATTTCGGCTGGAAACAAATTCGCCATTCTGCTAACAACTGTGTGTTTGTTTTATTGACACTTGTCGTCTCTATGATGCGAGGAAAATTATCATCCTCATCATCTTCCTCAGTATAGGTTGATTAGAAGCAAGTAACGCTACATCTGTAACGATGCAATGCAACACAAGAACACTAGTCGAGAATGAAGTAGCACTAGTATTTGCAAAACAAAACAATCCTTTGTTCCACTTTATTGTAAGTCAGCGAGGAGACAGTGGTTTAACGGGAAGTTAAACGGGATGGGTGGCACAGCAAAACGCAACACAACTGCCACTGAGGTTTTCTCTTTACGATGCCAATAAGCGTCTCCAACCAAACGCGTTCACCGCATTTCGTGCCACACCTGGGGAGACGGGATGCACCAACCAAGGTCAAGTAGGTATTGATAGCCTTAACCAATTGATCAGCCGACTTACTGTTCTTCTTCCCACCACACCCTAGTCGCGCAAACGATGGACGTTGTAGGAGTCGGCGTGCTGACATACGTAACACCTGGCCAAGCCATCAGAGCCCGGTTCATGAAATAACGGTGCTGAGCGGTTCACCTGCTATTCCTACGCTAAATACAGGACGCTGAACAAAATCATTGCTCACGCATTGTTACCACCACAAATGAACTAAACTGCAAAGTCACTGGTGGTCGAACGTAACAAGCCACTTTACCCCTGTCCATTTGATAAGACAAGTTTCACAACAGTGCAATAGGGTTGGATGGACAGCTGCATTGTAGACTCTATCCTTCAGTGGGAGAGTAATGTCGCGTTGGCATCATAATTGGCGAAATGGAGCAGACACCTCAAGCATTTGCTATACGCTTTGTCCCTTCATATTCTTACTACAGAGGCTGGCATAGTTGCCAACATAGTTTAATTACTAAACCACTTCTATCTACTCCACATCAAATTCAGTGCTGGGGGCGGTTCCTGCTAATTCCGTAGGAGATCTTTGTGTTTGGAAGGTGCAAGACACAACCCGAAATGGCTGGCACCCAATGCTTACTCTGTCCAATGCTGCTTCGTACTTTCGTAGACTGTCACAGATGACGCAAATAGTGTCAGCATAGTCCAAGTCAAGAAACTGCTCCCCTGGAAGCGGCTCCACACGTCATAAACCGTATCCAGTGAACGCACTTTCTCAGGATTTGTCAGTATCCAAATTAAAATGAAAAGGTAACAGCGGGAATATTTATCTTACACCGTCAGGGTTATTGAGAATCGTCAAAAGTTTGCCGTCATCCCTCAATCTACCCAAGCCATACGCGTAAAGCGCTTTACAACCTTTACCTGTTCCTCGGGTACCCCTTCCCTTATCGGACATTCCCAATACCACAATGCCTAGTCTCAATTCACAGAATCGAAAACGCTTTCGATGTCGAGGAACGGGACTATGACGAGCCTCCATGTGCACGGCATTTCTGCAGCAACTGAGGTAAAATGGATATGGGGTCAGTGTCGCCTCGATTTTGACGGAACCCGGCTTAGTATTTATGAATCTAGCTTTTGCAGATGCCAGTCGTTCTATGAAGGATAACGGTGATCAGACTGATACCTCTGTCGTTGTCGCACTGCGAACCGAACCCCACCCCTTGGTAATCGAGACTATAGCGGCGCTGCTTCAGTCTACTGGGGCAGTTTCCTGTTCACAGTTTCATTTATAAGAGCAGGTTCTTCGAATTTAAAGATGGCTAGAGGAAGTTCATCTGTTCCCGCAACTTAATCCATCTTCAGTATTTCGATCTCACAGTCGACTTATGTACCAGAGGGCCGATCAAAAGAGACGGCTTAGGGAGCAGGATAATCATTGATCGTCAATGAAACTGGTAATTCCCGCCGATTGAATCGCCATTTGGAGTAGTTGTAAGTAGTAGGGGGATTTATTAGATTTTTTGTGTAGATTCGTCGCAGTTAGATGCGGGCGGACAGTTAGCACACATCCAGGAAAGCGCTAGACGGCCGTTTCGTCCTATTGGGACTCGTCAGTAGCGCGCACCCACCGAATCCTGCCGGATTCGAACCCACGACCTTACTCTTGCGAGTCAGCGACTTATGTCACTGAGCCATGGGCGACGGCAGCGAACCGCCATGACTGATATCTAACTGCGATATAGCGCGGCTCATCCTCCACTGTCTTGCATGTTATGAATGTGCAGAGGACAGGGCTGACCCCCAGAGCAACGACTTCCTTTGCAAGCCCCCTACTACTTACAAATAATCAGTAGTCGCCTTAGCAGCTTACATGCCACCTCGATTGGTGACGGTTTGCAAAGGAAATGGTTGCCCTGGGGGCCAGCCCTGTCCTCTGCACATTCATAACATGCGAGACAGTGGAGGATGAGCCGCGCTATATCGCAGTTAGATATCAGTCATGGCGGTCCGCTGCCGTCGCCCATGGCTCAGTGACATAAGTCGCTGACTCGCAAGAGTAAGGTTGTGGGTTCGAATCCGGCAGGATTCGGTGGGTGCGCGCTACTGACGAGTCCCAATAGGACGAAACGGCCGTCTAGCGCTTTCCTGGATGTGTGATGACTGTCTGCTTGTGTCTAACTGCGACGAATCTACACACACAAAAATGCCATTTGGAGTGTTCGGCCCAACACTCCAAACGTTTTCACAAGACTGTGGGCTGACTGTCGCTTCTCACCACACCTAGCTTTGTTAACTCTAGATTTCCTACTGAACGTCTATTATATCAAACGGAATAACTTCTAATAGTTGTCAACAGCAGCGGCCATTGCTATCTCCGATGAACGACGAGGTCATTAGACTTCGCGATCTAGCTTCAGGCTAGCACGCAATTATGCCTTGAAGCATTTGCGTATCCTGTTATGTTCATTCTCAGGGAGAATGTATCGATGAGCAACCACAGGCTCCTGAGAGTTTCCATACTGGCAATCGGATTTGTCACAAAAAATATATAGATGCTGCTTATATGGCTTGGCGAACATGCGATTAGTGGTCTTCAACTGTGTTCAATGAGCGCTTGCATAACGCGGATGTCAGCGTACTTTGATGCACATCCGGAAACTCAGGCTTCACCATCTTGCTGGCGTCTATGGGCTTACAGCGTCCTCGCGGGTGTTTACCGGAACGCACCCACAGGTTAACGCTGACAAGTGCACTGTTGGAGTCAACGCTATTTCTCCAAATTGTGTGGCATTGTTAAACGCAGCCTCTCTAGCGGTAGTTGATTGTTATGTGATCGATTTTCGATGCAACAGATACTGCACCGTTAATTATCATTTGCGACAGTCATGGCATCAAGAAAGCATCTGAAGAACCCAGCATTGCATTACCTGTGCAGGATACTGATAGTTTGTCTAGGCCTAGACAGGCGAACAAGTAGATTCCCCAACCGAAACCTTTAATAACAAAACCTAAGCGCGAAACAGCGGGTTTGGTATTTGGCTACAGGGTGTGCTCTTTAAGGAACAAAAAGCCATGCTCATTCTAACATCAATCTTGAACACCAGTAGGATGGGTTTGTCGGGCCTTCAGCTATTGATCTGTCTAGTGTGAATGGTTTGAAGGAGGATGAACACTATCCAACACATCGCATCGGAACACTGACGCACGCAATCTATCGCAACTGGTTCAGTTCCAGTTTTGTCATAGGGATGAGGCAACGTCCCTGGCGTGTGATACAATCCAAAGGTTTTCATGTGATTGCCGAAACCTTAGCTCTGTTTGCTCCAACTTCATACACTGACCAAACGGAAATATCGCCCACTGATAAGTTCCGCATCCTATGGTTAGGACAAATGTCACATTCCATCTTGCGACAGACGTATGTAACGCGTTACGTGCAAATCATGTCTCACCGAATCCATCACGTTTGACAGGAATAAAGGTCTAACAAGTGAACTAAAAGGTTCACCTCTAGTCGATGAGCCCTTGCGACAGCTAATCGCGAAGATGGCATGGTGTCTTCATTCGAGGCGTTGGTAGTAAGCAGGAAAGGGAAATATTTTCGAAATTAGTGCGGTCTCCTCATCTGCTTACGTGGCAGGTTTCAGGTGCAGATTGTGCGTGTCGAATACCTCGAATTGCGCTTGTATCTACCTGAGTATATTGTATTTGTGAAATGTCAGTATGTATGAAAAGCCACCACGTTGTAATGCATCTACTTTTTCCGCTTTGTTGAAGATTTAAAAAGGATTGAAAGAGGTCACCATATCCCAATTTAAACCACCTTGAACTCCGAGCGACAAACCATTATTCCAAATGTGGTTCCTGTGCTCGTAATTTAACTAGCGGCACGATTGCCAGGAATTCCACTATTAATGCAGTTATTATCGTATATTTATGCCGGATCGTCTCTGCTGTGTGTGTGCAACTTAATCCCTTGTTAACTGAATAAAGGAAAACGAACACTTTGACGCGCAGACACTGTCGAAATCAGCAGATCTCGATGCTAACGAATAAAACTGTTTGTCTAGTCGATCCGAATCCTGTCAATACACTGCCAGCCTGATATTATTTTGTCACCTAAACAGAGGCAGTGATGATGCTTCAGTCAAGAACATCCTCGCTTTAGGGCCAACATACTGCACCTTGAAAACTTTACCTCTCTTGGCAGACTGTTGGGCAGTCCGTTGTCAAACATGCCAAAAACTGCGGTCATTAAGCCAAGCACTATCGTACACATTCTGTTTTGCCATCTTCATCTGTCGAACGATGTCAATTACATGTGCTTCACATTAGCGGCGTGACAATTATTCTCTGCTACAGAGCAAAGAACTGGATCCACTAGTTTTCAGCGAATCAATACCTCTCGAACACGTTCATACGAAAGAGCCAGATGTGGAGTCTGGCTCATTGTCGACCGATGGAGTCAGTCCGCGTACACTGATCCGTATACCGCTACATTCGTTAAGACAAGATCGCTGCGTCTTCAGTCTTACCAAGGATATTGCACACTGTGCTCTCATGCACCCTCCGTTACTTTGGAATGTCGGTGATACGGAGCCAACTCCGACGGAACCGGGTCCATCATTTGTTGGCAGATTCAATGGCAAACTCTACATCAGGACTAGTCGCAAAATGAGGCCGGACACAGTCAGTGTTGCACTGATGCCCTTAAATGTTAGTCAAGGTGAACAACAAGGCCAACACCAGCTCAAAGTTCAAGAAATTCTCGACACACCTTCTTCTCTAACCGATAATCAAAGATTGGCGTCATCGCGAAGAGAATCAGAGATAACGTAAGTATTTCGCAACAAACTCTGTAAGTTTATCATCAGGTTTGAAAGTTGATCTGATCAGGTCTGTATCAAACAATAAATAAATAAGTATAGGTAGAAATTCGTCATACTTAGACTCACACAGACAGCCGCCACACTCCCGGAAAAGCACTGTACGCGCGTTTCATCCTTTCGGGAATTATCAGCAGTGCGCATTCCATCGGACCCTGGTAGGGCTCGAACCCACAACTCGACTGTTGCCAGTCCGTGCACTGCTGATGCTTCTCGGACGGATGAAACCCGCATACAGTGCTTTTCCGGGCGTGTGGCGGCAGTCTGAGTGAGTCTAGGTTTGACGAATTTCTTCCTATACCATTTAACTCCCCCTACTACTCCTCTGTAAATAAATAAGTGCAATGTATTTCTTAATAAGCTGTGATATCACTTCCGTGTGCATCTGTACCTGGATTCCTGAAACATCTAGTGGCCCTGACACCCCCTGAACGCTACTTTTCCACTTTGTACACCACTGATACTGCAAAATAAATCCCGTTTCAACTTTCGATTCACTTACCACTGTGTTCATCTCATCAGACTTGTGAAAAGAAGCTAATGGATTACCGTAGTCACTTGCAAGGAAATGCAGTGGGACAGGGGCGCAGAAGTGCAAGCTCAGTCAGGAGCGTGTTTATGGGGAAATCGCGGTGCTTCTGCTTGGTCAACTGTAGGGTGCGAATCATCATGTTTTCCTCGTCTCAAATGGATGGCTTATAAATGATAAATAATCGCCTGCTGTACGCCGTAACGACGCTTCGCTGTCGCGCCACCACCACCAATCGCGCGTAGGCTGTGTATACTGCTAGGGTGCCCATCTCTACGCGGATTCGAACAGGTGACCATATGGTTGCAAACCAGACGCGCAGACCACTCGGCCACCAGCCCTCCTGATCCTCCTGTTCTGAGACGGTGAAAACACGTTTAGTTCCGCGTCACAGTTGACCAACCAGTTGCTTCGCGATTTTACCACTAGAAACCTACATCCGAAATGATCCACGCTGCAACACCCCTGTTTCGAAATTCAGAACTATTTCCTTTGCTTACTCGGACATTTTATAACCTAGTTGTTCGTTGAGTATTTGACCTGACGAGATCTGAATCACCAGGGTCTTAGTCGATCTACCACAACAGTAATACTACCTATCATCGCGTTCTTCTTGAAGAGACAGACAAGACAAGCAAAGGGGACACCGTAAATGATCCGATATAACAAACAGGGCATCTTTGTATCGTTGTATGGTAGAGAGCAGAAGGCGACTCCCTTTGTCAGCTCCGGGCATGTCCTGCATTATTAAACGTGCAAGAAGTTATATAGAAATGTCCAAGAGATGAGAGGTTCAATAGAGGCTCTCCGAATTCAGCTACAAATTTAAAGGGCAGATAATAAATGCACTACAAACGGCTCGATAATAGTGCTCAATGACAAAATGAAACCTCGGCTGACCGGCAATGTGCTAACACCGCCGTGGACTGATGTCAATAACCTAGATCAATGTTTCACTCGCGTACGATACAACCACACGCAACTGTGTGGTGCCACATATCCCGCAAGTCCCTCCATAAGACGCATCGCATATCTTTCTATTCGACATTCACTTATGTACTCAGCCTCGGTGTATAAGCGAGGCTGCGCAACTTTAGATTCACCTTTGTTGTCTAGCCTTCTCATTTTTAGTCTGAATATGCCGTGTGGTTACCGTTCGTCTCGTGCGTTTGGGATTCAGTCTGTAAGGATTGTGTTGCTCTTTCCGACTGAGAGGTTTGTTACAACTAGGACGAGGTAGCAGGATGTGTACTTGTTGTGGTAAACTTGAGAAAGGTTAATGTGCGATGCATGCAATATGGGGTGTAGCAGGAAAGACGTGTTGCACTAATGTGGTTACCACGTATGTCATCATAGGCAGTCACTTCGAAAGACGGTGTAAAAGTACGCGGCACTCGAGCAGAAAACACCATATAATTATATACTAGCTCTATGGATCTGTTTAAACTGTGTGTGCACATGTGGCTCAGGCCAAACAGTCGTATAATGCTGAAAAACATGCAATGCTTCGACAGCGCAGTTATCCAAGCTTGATTGTAGCCGGCGTTTCCCCATACAACTCGCCTCCGTCCAGCGAAGGTGCTTTCGCGTACTTAAGTCTTTTCTTGGGACATGGGAACTAAACAAACACAATCGTATATTTGAGAAGACCAAGTAAGGGGTTCACTTTTTGTTCATCAAACACATTGACTGACTTTTTCATCTTGCATCATGTATACACCATAAGTATGCAGATGATTTCACTTCTTTGTCCGAAAAGCCGATCCTCCGAGGCCGACTTGCTTGCCGACGCGTTGACCTTACCTGAGTCGTCAGATCCTCAACACAAATACGCGGATGAGAAACTTCAGCGTCGTATTAGAGCTGAATATCAACGACAAGAGCTGTTATGCACTGCCGGACGTCTAGTCAGATGCTTTGACGCAGAAGTGCGGATGTGTCGACATACCCGCTTCCATCTGGACGTACTACTCAAACGAGCTGAACTGCACCAACTCACCCTGTTTGAAGAATATCGGTTACTGAAAGAATTCGAAAAATCCGAAATGGTTCTTACGGAAAAAAAGAGTTTAAGAGACAGTGAGAAGCAAGAAGTCAATCTAAAAGTAAGTCAGCCACGTCCGCATCATAAACCACTGAAATGGAATTATACCTTCGTTTTGCGAGTAGGTAAATCACTTCTCCAAGCTTCCTATGTTAGTTTGTTTATTCCCGTGATCACACACACTGGCTTGTGGCCTCCCTATGGGCTACGGAATTGCAGTGGTTGGCACTAACACCTCGGAGGGCACAGCACTGCGTGAGGAACTCCGATGTCAACCGATTGGCTTGGGTGCGCACCAGTTTGTTAACTGAAAGAACGATGTCTGCCACTGTTTCCATTCCAACCTATCAACGGAGGAGAATTTAATTCGAAACTAGTCTTTCTTGCTCCCATCTATTAATCATGCAGCCTGCTTCTTCTCTGGCCCTCTGATAGGATCCTTACCCAGGTAGTTGTAATAAGCGTTAGTGTAATCACGTGTAACAATCATGCAATACGACGAATGCTTGCTTTCCGACTGGAAGCCGTTGATTTGGTCACATATGGGAACAAAGGAGGGAATTGTTTGTTTCTGTATGTATCCTGCTTCTAAAGTTGCTCGCAAGTTAGCCACATTAGTGCGGTTTAGCAGCTAGTATCACACTTGGATTTAGGTCTTCGTCAATCCTTTAGCTCAGCTATCCAAGTACTTCTTTTCACCGTATCCTCTTGCCCAATGGTCATAATTCCTGTGTTATTGTAACATCTTTTCTTTCCAGTATCACGGCGACGTGAAGCTTAGCTTTTTAATTCACCGCTGCCCGATGCTTGAAACGAATTACAAGGGAGGAAATGAGCCGTAATCCTTGTGTGATTTTTGTCTGTGCTACTGGGCGTCAACAAGTACTCAAAATTTGAGGCAGCTGCCTCAGGTGGAATTTGGGCTCATATAAAATTGTGTTTCCAGACTTCCCTATGCGTTCGAACACAACTTTGTTTCCGATTTATCTCCAACAGATTGCAGAACTGAACACTAAAATTGACGCCAGGAAAAAAGAGTTGGAACGATTGGCGCAAAAAGAGCATGCGCTGCATGAGGAGTTCAAAGCAAGTCTGGGTGAAGGTCATCGCTTCACTGATTTCCTCACTAAAGTGTTCAAGAAACGTATCAAACGGAAGAAAGCAGATTCTACTGACGCAGGTGGGCTTGAAATGTTTGACTAACTTATTCCGAGGCATGGTTAGGCTGCGCGTTTTCCACCTGAGTAACCATACTTTACGCCAAACTATCGGCTTTTTGAATACGATTAACGCAAAATTAACAAAGCTCGTGTGGTATGACATAAAAAGCAACGATTGTAGCCCAATCCACAGCCTTGTCTAAACGAAATTCGTGGTGCAAGTATTAATGGAACAGGAATCACATATGGTGTAATACAACACTCATATAATTTCAGTTAGTATTTCGTTTGCATTTTATAATCGGATCCGTATTGCTGGACTGTGCCTCACTTAGTTGGGGACATACCAATTCCGGTTTCAGTTAGGAAAATGCTGTCTGATAAATAAGCGCCTTTTCGGTGAATAAATCACTCCCATAGTGGCCACTTTGACAACTTATTTTCTAGTTACTCAATTCATCCTTTTTTATCTTAACTGTATAAATGTGTTGTATTTGGTCTGACGATGAATCACCGAAAACAAGCTTGTTTGCTAGACTGTTTTCCATGAATATATCAACTACAGTAAAACCTCCGTAAGTTGACCACCTAAGGGACTGGACCAAAATGGGTGGCACACAGATATGGTCCACATATGAAGGTTCGGATCCATGAGATTTACATGGCGAACGTTCAAAAATACAAACCAAATCGATCAACTGAGAGATGGTCAACTTCGGAGGTGTTGCTGTATTATTACCACGTATACGAGTGACATAATGGGCAGCGTGTCTGTTTGTTTGCGGCTTGCTTCTTTTTCTCGTGGGCCGATCACAACGATCATATGTTACAATCTAACTTGTTTGTACGTTATCGAGGTGTGTCCATCTGTAACATTATATCCTACATTTCGACAAATAACTGATGCTAGCTGGATGCTACATGTGACCTGTGAAGGAAGCGTACGGGCAGCTAGTCGAATCTGACTGGCTGACAGTACCTTGCCGAACTGTCATGGACAATGTGGTCTGCATGTTGATTCTCTAAACTCCTCACTCACTAGCGCTAGTATAAGATGAGCCTAGTTATTAGCATGCATCAGCACTTGATTGGCAGTCATTAATGCACGGACTGTTTTCACAATCCACCCTTATGCTTATAGAATGGCAAAGTCATACCGTCTCCCGACTATCTGACAAAAGATGCCACCTCGCCTGATAACGCTTTCATGAACAATCGCTAGCGGCCTTAACCTACCAAGGCAAATGGTATGGTATGGGGTCGCCGTTATGGCCGCTACTTGCCGATTTCTTCCTCGCAAAAGTCGAGCGTGGCCCTATCCGGCACCATATCGATTCCCTTCATCTCTATCGGCGGTATATGGATGACACGTTCATCGTGTGTGATTCCCACATCGATCCCGCTCAGTTACTGGACCAGTTTAACCACACACATCCATCAGTAAAATTCACTTCCGAGCTGGAGACTGACGGTGAACTTCCGTTTTTGAATATTTTGTTGCTACGTCTAACCGATGGCTCATTCAAGAGAAGAATCCGGTCAGTACGCGCACTTTCTTAGCTTTGTACCCATTAAGTAAAGAGAAATCTCGTGCGTTGTCTGTACTATCGGGCCGCAAGAATTTGCAGTCCAGAAATGCTAGAAGCGGAAATGGAGTTTATTCAAAGACATTGCAGAGCAACGGGTATCCCGCGACATTTATCAAAAAGCATTCCGCTGTTTCTGATCAAAGTAACGCGATACCGACTGCAAGAAAGAAGGATGTTTACCTCTCAGTTCCTTTCAAAGGAGATATCGCTTTCGACTTACTGAATAGGAGACTATCACTGGCGGTGAACAAGACATATCCGGTCGCTAAAGTTCATATATTTGCTGAAACGGTTTCGCTCGTCACTTAACGCCTCAAAGATAGAATCCCGTCTCGTTCCGAATCTTTGTTCTATAGCAATTCACCTGCACCTGTGGTGCAAGGTACCACGGGCACACGACCAGGCGTCTATCTAGGCAGATAGCAGAGCAGTGCAGTGCATCTTTGCACCATTGTATGGTTAAGAATGTCCCTAGCTCGATCCCTGTACATCTGCTTAGTTTCGGCCATCAGATTCGGACTAATGACGTATTCAAGGTAGTCTACACGGCACCGAGGCGCAACCCCAAAGGAATCAGAAAGCGCTTGTTCGCCACCGCTGAAGCGCTTGCAATCAGAATTCTTCAGCCGGATTTGTGCAAGCAGAGAACACTGATGCAATCCATACTGTTGCCGTGGCCGTAATGTCGGACCGCGGTTACGACTATGAGTGACCATTGTAGATCTGCCGGCCAACGCGTCTGTGCTTTGTGCGCGTGTGCGTCTCCGCGCATTCTCACGCGACTCATGACGTCTGCCTGTATCGAGTGAACTATTGATCGACTTCGTTCAAACAATCACATCTTCAGCGCTCGCTTACCTGTACGTTTGTCTGTCTTGTAATTGTGTTTGCCTGAAGTGAATTGCCGAAAAGAGTTCACTTCGCAAGTGTTCTGCTTCTAATATCTGAATGGGCATAATTAGTGAATCAAATGGTATTTCCTTTCCCTCCCGAGGACGTTAAAATGGACCATGAGATGCAGCTCATGAAGATTGCCAAACTGATTACCGGTGCGCTGCTGAAAGAAGATCTAGATAGACGGTGCTCCACTTCTCTTTTTATATGGATAGGTTGGTTGGATCGATCCATGAGGTTGCTTTCTCCCACGTACCTGCGTGTTCAGCAACTGTGGTATGGGTCAATCTGCCGGTGTTACATGTATTTGTGAACACTAAAGAAGACAGCTGTGTGTCCCTATAGCAGAACAACTCTGGACTCCTTAGCTCAATCACTGGAACATGTTTTTATTTCCAGTTTGCCGTTTCTACCGCGTTTCACTGGCAAAATTCCCAGAGATAGCATGAGACCGTTCACTCTGGTAGCACTGGATGACGAACGCAGCAATTGAAGTGGATCTGCAATATCGCAGTGATCCACTTTGCGCAAAGACCAACGGAGGATCACCAGTATCTTGAACTGAAACCTACACAGTTCCATCCACATGATCCATATATTTGGTAACTTATCAAATGAAAGTGTATGAAATGGGTACTCAGTAACCAGCTCCTGATGGACGGGATTCCCCGACTTCGACCCACTACCTTTTGCTTGATTTACTAGCCTAAGGCTCGGGATGAAGCTCCCTAATTCAACACCCTACTTCGGCTCGGGTAACCGGGTAGTATCGTGCCCTCTGAAGTAACCATGGGTTTCCCAATGTTATATTCCCTTTTCTTTTTCGATAGCTACACCTTTGATTTCCATGTTTCTTGCTGGCGCCATGTCTATTCGTAAACGTGACACATACCCAGTGTGAAGCCGAAACAATAAGAACTTGAGGTATGTGGATAGAATGCACAACTGATTCTGAGCGTCTCAGCACTACAGCTTGCATGTCACTAATTTATATAGCTGGGAGTGGTAGGCGTACTACAGGTACACAGAGCGGTGGCCAGGCAATAGTCAGTCACTACATTGGAGCCATTTGTAACTCCACACAGTCACACATACTGTGCACTCCGTCTCCCTGGACAACGGTTAACAGCATTATAGTGCCAACAACGTTGTGACGGGATCGAATAGGTGGACGCCTTGTCCACTCCCACATCCAGCACACTCAGATCTGTCGTAGTACACGGGATAAACACCATATTTCCAACAACACAGACTCATCATTATGATTACAGTCCAACCGCAGCAATCATGCTGCACTTGTATCAACTGAGCCGTTCTATTTGCACTAGTCCGTAAATAATGCGGCAAGCAACGTCATCGAACTACACCAACACCTAGCCATCTAACTTATCAATCGCTTTGTCGACATGAGCGCTTTGTGACGACTTTTGTGCTTTCTAAAATGGCTCAGCTGAAGCACACACACACACAGCCCTGTGTACTTCAGTCCCATGTGGACAAAGTGGACAAAAGTATGTTTAGCTGTACGTATGGCATCAAGCGTCTTTGTTTCAAATGCAGTAGCCACTGTCGTGCACCTGGGTGGCGGTATCCTTCGTTGTCCACGCATCCGCCAGTAGTTTATTATGAATTTTCCCAGGCAATCGAACTCAAGGTTATTTCGTGGAAAACTAGCCCCAGTTATGTTGTGGTGGCGCAACTTCCGGATGCTTGCCAGCCACTTTCCAAGATCGCTCATCTCAAACGTCGGTCTTCAAGGGAGAAGCTACATGGTTGGCAGCATCCATTTCCGGATTTGCCTGTCACTGTGGCCTCGCGCAGACAGCCACAGGAAGCCTGCGCCTACAGAGGGACCATGGGTGTCTTGCGCTGCACCATCCGCAGCTCCATCCACCTACCCCATATCCAGTGTAAACCCGAAGGAATAAGACCAGGAGGCCTGTGGATGGGAGCCACGTTTCATCAACGGAGCCGGCCCACATGCTTTCAACATGCACATCAGCAGCATTTGTTCTACCTATGTAGGGAATCATGCGTATCAGACGTACACAAGCGATGGCTGTGCCGTAGTCCACTCCACACTGGATGTATGAAACCACTCTTAGAGCCTAGCACGTCCACAATGACCGTGCACCCTGTCCCTCCCAGCAACGATACAGCCTCCTGGAGCCAGTAATCGAGGTGGAGGGTGTTAGACTGGTAAGCACGTTGTCAACATTCACATCAAGCGTAGCCATGTCAAACAACTAACCTAGCATTTAAGGAAAAGCAAACACATAAAATTAATAAAAATAGGCAGCAGAATAAGAGCACTGGACACAAATAAAGAGAAATGACTTTTATCCAGCCTCAAAGAATCTAGGTTAAGTGTAAGTTGGTTTAGACCAACTGCGTGAAGTAGCAGCATGAATGCAAGATCAACCTCAGCATACTGGCAAATGTACAGCACGCTTGACTTTCCGAACACTTTTATATCTACTGTCAGTACACTTTATAATGGACAGCGTTTCGAGGCCGACGAGATTCTTCCTCTGACACAGTCTCATAAAAAACTGAAGGCTCATCATGTCGCCAAAGAACTTCGGCCAAGCAGGGAAGCTGGGTGTACGGATGGCTGCCTCTACTGCGTCCAGTAATCGAATACACCAGGTTCCTTTCTGATTGACATTCCTGCTGTTTCCTTGGATGGATATCATCACTCTCATGAGACATAAGCAGGAAAAGCAGCAGTACGAATTTCTGTCCGTAGATGCCACGTCTGTGGATTACTTTAGTGATGCGCACACTATCTTACCAAGGAACTAACGTAATCCACCGAGGACACTGTAAATGGTGAAATTACCGGCAGCTCGTTATTTGGATGCTGGGTCACTATAACTGACATATGCGCCATCTACTAGAATTCAGTCCGCCATCTGCTTTTCAAACTCTGCTTGTCTTTCGAGTTGCTGCCGCTTATGGTTTTCGTTCAAACCCAACAGTTGTACCTCCTTGATTTCTATTGTGCATCTCACTCCATCCCCTCATCCACGCAGCTTGTACCATTTGTCACAGCTACCTGTCGTCTGTTCATCCAAGCTTTTGCACACACTTGCCCAGTGACACATTTCCACCCTCGAGGTCATTCTTGAACCTATTGCATCTGAGTCTTTCCTGCACTGTATGGTGAACTCGTCAATGCGCAGAGTCATGTGACCCAATATAAGCGCCTGTGTGATTCCACTCGTGGTCTACTTTTCGTGAGCCGTCTGTACAGTCGCAAGTACAGCGATTTTCAACCTTGTTGCATGCCTTGTAAAGACTCAATTGCTTCCGTAGTGATCGGGCATTGTTGAGGAATGTCCTTATTGCAGTTTGCTATCCATTTGAATAATATCGTAGCTCACTTTTGGCTCCAAATTCCACTTCTGGCTTTGGTTTAATTTCCCTTTAGTTCTACGTGTTGCTCAAATCCCAAGCGAATTTGTTGATTACAACCACTACTGTCTGTATCCTTCTCCATAGTGATTGTCTTTCTTCTGAGACACCTAGAAGTCGTTACCGCAGAAACGCAATGGCTGTGTTATTGACTGTTTTTCAATCAAACTGCACCCAATGGTCCGCTGATGACTCACTCGATATTTCAACTCATCTAACGCAACAATTCCTCCCCATGTGTGAACACACAGCCCGCAATGCGTTTACAGTTGTAGTAAGATCTTGTTGCTGAGTTAACGAAACTTTTGCGTTTTCAGTGACTAACCATCAATGTGAATTTGTGCGGATTCATGTGCAGGCTGAAGTAGCCGTACGGTGTTGTCCTAAGTGCGATTTAGATGCTAGCAACTTGTACCGCCCCCCCCCCGATATTCTTGGAGACTTCCACACAACCTTGACACTTCGCCAACTAATCCAGCTGATCATTCTAGTTTGAACACATCGGAATTTTCTGTCACACACATCAGTTATCGCGACAACCATTGCGTACCACGATAATGACTCTGCATTTTCGTGCTTCTTCGCCTCAAAAATATCAACGAATCAGAAATTAACACAATGCCAAATGATAACGCCATCAAACATGCCAGATCCACATCTGGTATAACAGTACTCACTCTGAACAACAAGCTTTCTTAGAACAAAGTATGGGACAAACATGTACGTTTTTCCCCATTTAGATAGCCCCTTACACTTGTGGTAGAACATTACAAAATAATACTGAATATATGGTTTGTACGCGTTATTTTTCACCATAAAATCACATAACCATCGGTACAACTATAAGAACTTACAGGTATTTCTTTACTGGCTCCCTAGGCTCCAGCGACACAGAACTCGCCTCTTCTTCGTCAGAGGACTCATCATTTGACGAATCAGAAGAGGAAAGTGACGAAGAAGATTACGTTCTGGATCTGGATGTATGTCCAGCTGGGTGTCCCCAGGAGGACTTTGACAACACTTGCGCGATTCGCGAACGACGGTTGGATGTAGAGGACGAGACGATTGAAGAGAAGAAGGCATTAGAGTTACTCAAGAAAGACCTAGAAGGCTGGGTCAAGAAGCAACGAATAGTTGAGGTGGCTCAAAAGCAAGCAAAAACGGAACTGGAGGCTTTCCAGGCAAGCAAAACTTGTGTCTGAGATGTAAACTTCATTGTGGGCTAAGTTACAACAACGATAGTCTGCATTTTGTCCTCTTAACTACCTGTTGCCATCTTAGTGTCGCTTACTATTCATTTTGAACAGTTCATTGGTAAGCATGGTTTCTATGGTTTAAGCGGCTTCAGGAAGTAGATGTTAACCCGACAGAGACACACGACTCTTTCAGAATCTTCCCACGTTTTGTCAACTAGCGTGTTACCAACGAACAGTCAGGCTAACTTGTCAGTGCCTGTATTCGTGGCCACCTGGACAGAAACACTATCAATCAACCTGTAAACGCATCAGTCTCGACAGTAGCAGGCGCTCGCGCAGCTCCCTGTGTCAGCGTGTAATGGTACCTAGGCAGAACACGACGTGTTCTCAAGTAAAAGCATATCACCTAAGTACTGGTTAAGGTAAGCTTTGGTGTTACAATCAACCACCAAACTGAGCGTTTGTTTCATATGCAACCAGATTCCTCTCTCTTATTTATTCGGCGTTTACTTTGGCCATTGCCTTGGCAGTAAATTTCTCGCACCGAATCATTTGCCATTGTTTTCATTGAACACGCCAAGATCGCCAACTTCCACTTCACTCATCTCTGCTGTTTTAAAGGATCTGATGAACCGTTATGTTTGTTAACTCGTCTAGGTCCTGACAACCGGTTAACAGCAACTTATGGGTCCCTTGTCGGAGAGGACAACAAGCAGCAGTGCTCTCTCGTGGGTGCGCTGGGAATTCTGTGATTGGTTTCACGCGAAAACTTGTGCCCGTCTGTACACCCATGACGTGTGGTACGCTTGCGTCTTCCTATGTCGTCTGGGTAGAGCTACCTAATCACCTGCTTGTCATTGCTATAGTACTGATCGTCCACTAGTACTGGTGTTAGTTGGCGGTATCTGTGTGGTTACTCATCTGTATTAGGAGACTGCATCATGCAGGTTTCAGTTCTATATCCAATCAGCGAAACCTATGAGGAATTCAAGTGAAACGTATGAAAATATGACCGTTTGGACAGATACGTTCAACTCGACTGCAAGTAAAACAGGACGAACGTACGACATAGGCAAAATTACGTTACGTAGGCTTGAGTTTCGGACTACGTGCGGGAGGATAAATACGCTCAGTCGATTTCATGAAGTATCGGATTTTATTTCTGTTACCACTCATTGCTACTTGAAGTGCGACCAGCTGTAAAACCCATTTGAATTGTGTTGGATATATGCAATAGCTTGCCGGTCTCTATTTGACATGCAAGCGCGTTCCTTATATTCAACCATAGTGATGAATTAATTTGCAGTGCAACATCTTGTAGAAGGAATAGAGTTTCATGCATTGTAACATGGCAACGGATATGTAAATAGACTACAAGAGTCCACAGCATACCTTCAGGCACCGTTTGCTTCCAGGGACATTGTCCTGTTAGAGAGGAAAAGTTTACAGAATTCTTATCTTCGAAACGGATTGGGATGTTGTCTTTGATTACTTTTTCGTGCTATGGTTAGTGATTTATAAATATAACTAGACTGCTTCTGGCTGTAATAGAAATTCAGTGTTTTTAGTGTTGGCTTGACCTTATCACTGCCCATCGACTGGGCAACGGACTATGAACCCTCGCTGTTTCGAAGCATATATTTTAACACCACAGAGGTATTTTTATTGAGATGGAGGGCGATGCAACCCATGGAAATTTGTGCATCACTGGACACAAGCGTTCGCTGTGAGCTCGAAGATTTTTGGGCACGTTTTGCTCAACAGAGGTCAGCTATCACTTACATTCTGACCTATCCAAGGTCGAGTATATCTGTAAACTTCGCGTTGGCTGTACTTATCTTCTGTGATAAAAGCGCATACCACGAGCACGAATGATTCCGTCGCACCTTAGAAGCGCATCTTTTGACACACATCTAACAATATGTGGTTCGCGGCTTCCACCTGATTCCACTTCTGCATACTACTTGCAAGTACATCCTCACGAAGAGCTCACTGTCTACTCTTTCTATGGGTACGGTTGGCGAGCTAAAGGTACCTATGCGTGGTTGTTAAGGCAGCCCGTGCGACAATTTCAACATGCAAAAATACTAAGTGTACCTTTGATCAATAACCGAGTTATTTTTGTAGAAAGTATAAGCCACGATTGAACGTTGCACAATAATCTGCCTCGACGGGGACTCGAACCCTGGGGGTACGGATTACCGGTCCGCTGCTCTACCAACTGCAACACCAAGACAGGTACTGGGAGCTTATTAGCAATACGTCGCGAACCAAGCAGAAGTCATATATTAAAAATTGCTCACCTGATCGTCAGTCTTCGATAGCTCAGTTGGTAGAGCAGCGGAGCGGTAATCTGTACGGGGTTCGAGTCCCCGCTCGGGGCAGATTGTTGTACAACGTTTAATCGTGGTTTCCATTTTCAACAAAAATTACACTACTCACAAAACCACTAATAAACGAGTTATTTGTTGGGCCGTGACACATACTGATCTTTGGAGGTCTTCCAGAGATGCACTGTGTGTGTGTGTGTGTGTGTGTGTGTGTGTGTGTAGACATTCCAAGCTCATCTGAAATTTTACGACCTCCCTACATGCGGGAGCTTCCTGTTTACATGCCGGATCAAAATAGATGACATAAGTCTGAGTACCTCACCTAGCGGAGGAAACTAAGTTCGATAACCCTCTGAGTAGTGACCCGTGTTGATTTCACCCCAAATTCTTTGCATTACTTGTTTCCACTAATAACAAGCATCAGTAGGTTGTTATAAACTTTGTACTTGATCTCACAAATGTTGTTCATCCAAATATGTCTTTGGATCGCGTAGCTGGAAAAGCAACGCAAGCTGAACGAACTGGATACCATCGTGATACTACGGCTTAATCAAATCGAATATCATGCGAATTCCACTGTGCCAGCTGATATGAGTTCTGGTCTGGTATTCAAGCGATCAAACTTGCAGATGTTGTACCAACGCATACGTGAGCTGCAAGAAGAGAAGAAACATCAACGTCGCGAGCAGCTAGACGCCAAAGATAGACACGTTATGCTACAGAAGCACAAAAAGTTATTTTTGGTGAGCACCTGTTTTGCCAAACTCGGAACAAAATGAAAATCGTGCTCCATGTCTATGTATGTTTTAATCAGCTTATTTAAACACTTAGTCGGTACTGACATACTTCATCTCAAGGTTTTCGCTTCCTCGCTGATAGGGATCTACCGATCTACAGTTTATTGGCCTGGTCTTCTCATCCATCCTTTAAAAATTGAAGGCCTTTCGTATTTCCAGTTCGTGGTTTTGGCGCTGATAATATATTCGCAAACATCGAATCACATCTTCCACTCATTGCAAAGTTTATTCTTTAAGCATACTCACTATACCAGGTACATGGAATACGAAACCATGTCTTGTTCATGGGGACATCTTGACGCCATAGAAGTTAACTGCCGCGATCATCGAAATCATGACCATTAAAACGGTAGTTCACTGTTCTTTTCCAAGCGATCGAAAGCCAATGATGGATGACCCAGGAAACTATATTGCACGTGGAAGTCAGCCAAGTAATTGGCGGCAAACCATGAAATCGCTGATCTGTCTTGCAATCATTGGCTTAGTACGTCTTCCTGGTTGGGGGCCCAATGGATGAAGACTGCCAATGGCTTGACACACTTGGCGGTATGGCGCGAAACCGGAATCAATGGAAGGACTGTATATTGACATGTTTTAAACAAGGTGATCGGAGTTATACCACTCAGAATGCCAACAAAGTACAAATTGGTGTGGGAAAAGAAAACTCAAAACAAAAAGCCAAAATTATTTGTTCCTGACATGTGTACTTTTTGTACTTTGTTCCTCATGATTTTTGATGGCTCAGCGTTTATTTATAGACTGATGGATTATATATATATATATATATATATATATATATTATGGAAAATGGCGGTCGCCCCTATCGATTCCTGGGACATAACTATGAAACTTAAACTAATTCTGGCGCTGAGGACAGTGCCACCCTGATTGATTGCATGGCCATCCAAAATAAGTGTTTGACTTTATTTAGGAGGAGCGGCTTATTCGTTTAGAAAGACACATACTATCTGTGCTCGAGTGCACACGTGTTGCTCGTACCTCCCCAGTACCTTCCAAATTAATCAATGCAACCCGCGATGAAAACCGGATGGTATCATTTCAAGTATTCTCTTTTGTTATAATGTAGTCCTTCAACTACATTTTTATTCCGATTTACTTGTACAGACAGAATTAGAGAAGTTGACAGACGTGTGCGACCGTGAGATGGTGGAGAAATTCGGAAAAATTGACGATCTTGAGAAAATGGAAGGTGTCATCGTTAATCCAAAGTTGGAGGAACTCACCACCAAAATGTTTGCCATCCAGGAACAGTTTGAAAGAGCAGAAATGGAAATGGAGGTGCGAAGAACAACCATCCAACTCCTAATGATTATTCTAGTTTTGAATAGCATCTATTTACCTTGGGCCAAATAGTCTCAAAGCAGACGAAGTCTGCGATGAAGTGATGTGTTGAGAACTGACCACGTTAAGCATTTCTTTCAAATTGAATAGATCCAGGTTTCTCAAGCATCGTTAACTAAGTACTTTAATACCAATGTAGTAACATAGATCTTGATATCCTCTCCGTTCTTCCCTAAAAATACTCAAGTGAAGTACCGCCGCCGTCGAGGATGAACACTGATACACTTAATGAATCTATAAGCATGGAACAAATCTCTAAATTCTTCACCACATCCTTATCTAGTATGTATCGGAGAGATATTTCTGTGATACTGAAGTCACTTGATTTACTAAAAGAATTAAATATCTGTTCTGTAATGTTAGCTTGCTTTAATGGACTTTGAATTTTGCATTTAGGAAATTAGCTTTTCATCACTTAAGTAGAGCAGGTCAGGGTTTAGTTACAATAGAAAATAAACTATGTGCACTTCATTACGAAACCGCGGCACACTCATCATGCTTCTGACGTCGAGTCCCTGGCACTCTGTGCTGCCATGTTGCTTTCAGTTGTCTTTTGCCAATTGTCATGCTGCCTCATAGGTCTGAATCAACAAAGGACACTTCTCAGCTGAAAGTATACCATATATGTTGCATAAGTGTCTGTCTTGTAATCCATAAGTCATCGGCTCCATTCGGTTTGGGTGCGAACGACCTAACTATCCCCCGATCCTGAGCGCTACCGGTGGTGGTCGCCCTAGAGCGAAGCGAAGGCACTACGGACCAGTACACTCTTGGTGACTTATTTCGTTTTTACTTGCGGAGCGCAGCACACTGGGACATGGTGAACTGCCTATGTGATAGGGTTCTATTTTCTGTCAGGTCTATGGAGGTATTCGCTACTTATCTACAAAATTTCCAGGGATTCAACATTGTCGGCTAGTCATGATCTTCTTGACATCTCCGCTCACAGCACTTAAGTAACCTCTCAAGGAAGGACTATGTAAGAGTAAACGATGAGGATGATACCAGTTGACGCGGTTACAAATACTGAGAGTGTCAATGAACTCCTAAATGCCCCACTAGTGTTCTCAGCATATGATGCTAACTTCAAATTGACTGATGAGTGAGATTTGTTCGTTTGAAGACTCATTTGATACACACCATATGTGAAACTAAATACCTGTAGTCTTTTTCTATTTATTCCATTGGTGGACGAACTTTTCACTTCCGCGTGTATATGTCCAGAGGATGAATCTCAAGTGATGCAACGATTTGAACTGGTCCCCATTTGAGTGACATGCACACAATGCATCAACTGTTTCATTTCGGCTGGTGTTTTCGGTACCACTTGTTTATTGCCCACCCAACCTTTGTGGATTTTTTCGTCCACCACTTACATCAAAAGTGCGGTTTGGCTAACGATGTTAGCGAACACGTAACGCTTAGATCTTGTCACATCTGCGTTTCCTCCAAATGCTCCGGATTTCGATGTCACAATGTTTGTCCACAGGAAGGTCTTAGTTATCCTCGAAACAGCTCCATCTCTATGGGTACACCGCGTGCTTGAATGTACGAGATACTCTCTCAGTGCCTGCTTCCATTAATAACGACCTTGTTGATCGATAGGGCTCCTTCCAGTGAGCTAGTCCAGCAAATACCGGGGAAGTCACCGTAGCGGACACAAGCGTCAATCAATCAGCAGAGTCGAGTAGGCGAACATTCATGCCTGGTGCATCAAATACTCGGAATGATAAGGTTCCTGCCCTATTGGAAGTCTGGTTCGCTCCTAGAGTCCATGTGTCCACTTCAACTAGACACTCCTATCACATAAAACAAGCGCCAGTGTTCCATTTAGTGCATCACTAAGTTTTGTGCTATGGTTTCTTTTATTGCGTGTTCCTACTTTTGTCCAAATAAATAATACCATTTAATTTTCATCCTGAAGTTTATTCAATGCAATCTTGTACCCATTGCCTCCGTTTAAGGAACGGATTCGGGAGGCGCGTGACACGTGCATTGATCAGTTGAGGGAGAACACTACCACGCTAACACAAACGCTTCTATTGTACAATGAGAAGGAAAGACTGCAAACCGAGCTGAATCGCAAGCAGGGCTCAAAGGTGAGTTTGTGATAACAAAGTCTCTCACCACGGTTACAAATGTCGAAGCGGCCTAATACTACTTTGTTTCCAAGAGTTTATGACGCACTATTGCGAATAGTAAACGCATACAGTGGTGGTGTCCTGAAGCGAAGGTACGTTGTAACTTACCTGGTAGCCCAAATAGACTTGCGTGGAACGATAGGGCAACTCAATCCAACTTAGGTATTAAGTGAGGCATCCATAGTGATATCGCTCATGTAAGCCTATACCACGTGAATTAAAATGACAGACTTCAGACAGAAACGATAGTAAATTTGTTCGTCTCAAGAAAGCCTTTCAGTGAACAAGTGAGGTTTGGGTGTACAGGATGGTTGCCTGCATTCTATCAAAGTGCGCTATAGATGCAAGCCGGTATTTCGAAATGATACTCCAATTAAATCCGCCACTGCTTCGCATCACATGTGCACCAACACAAGCTCGTGGTTTTGTGGTTGTTTTTGGGATTCTCTCTTCAAATTGTTTACTCGGTACATTGACCGCCCACCATCTTCCTACCTGTATAGATGAACCCTTAGTACTCTTGCTAGTAGATAAGAGTAAGCTGCAATCGCTCCACCATACAAGACTTACATCTGCTTCATACTGTTGAGAATTATTACATACTTTCGAGTGAAATAAAAAACAGTGAATGTTCATACACTATGTTTCGAAGCAACACGGATTCCGACAATATCGATCATCTACTACCAGCCTACTGATTGCGCACGGCAGTTGGATCGAAATGGCCGATAGTGGAACCGGCACTGAAGTCATCTATCTCGAATTTTCCAAAGCCTTCGCTCACTTAGATGACAAAATCCCTCTCCAAATGTTGCAAGCCTACGGAGTTGAAAACCCTGTCCTTAGAGGGCTCGGAAGTTTCCCTATTTAGCGGCGGCTTCACGTTCGTGTTGGGGGCTCATTATTTGTTTCTATTGAGGTGGACTGTACTGTTCCACAAGGATGAGTGTTAGGGCCGCGCCTAATTTTGGTCTTCATTAAGAGCTTCGTGGTGTCATGGAGCCGAATTGCTTGCGTTTCGCAGATGACATCAAGATCCGGAAGGCGATTTGTGATTAGGTAGATCAGGATCTGCTGCAACGGAACTTAAACCGTGCTTCAAACGGCCAAAGACAAAGCTATTTCCGTCCAATGTGGGCGAGGATAAAACTGTACATTTACACCACAAGCCCACACACGCTTGGAGACCACATCTTGAAGACCGCAGCAAAGGAGCGGGAACTTGGGGCGGGAATGAAAGACGACCTCGGTTGTTCGGCGCAACCCTTGAAGACGTCCAAACCTACAAACCAACTGATTTGTCTCTTACGGAGAGCATTCGTCAGATTCGATCCCTCCATCTTTCCCCAACTGGTCAATGCGTATGTCAGGTTCTAGGTACAGTACGCGATCCATTCTTGGCAACGCTGGTTAAAACGCGACCTGGTTGCACTGGAGACCACACAGTGAAAGGCAACCAAAAATGTGACGGACTGGTTCCTCCTGTCATACCATCTGCTACTGAAATCCCTAGAAGTGTACGGCTAAAGTAAGCAGCATCCACATAGTGACGTTCCAGGCCTTGGAAAACCCAAATCACACTGGTTATCACTTCCTGAAACTTATACGCAACACAGAATTGAGGGGTCATAAGCTGAAACTTGTCACGCAATCCAGTCGGCTGGAATGCCACCTGGACTATTTTTCGCAGAATTTTCTGGACTTTAAACGCTCACTAGACTTCTGTCATTTCTGCGCTCACGCTACCCATTTTTAAAAACCGCTTGACAATGCGTTACACTATCTGCTTTACTTACTTTGAATTCCGTCCATCGAGTAACCATAGGACGCAAATAAATACCGCGCTCACGAAACCAGACGAAATCGGAGTAAACGGATTTACTCGTAAGTTATCGTGGATATTATGATAAAATCACAGAAGCCTGTTTCACTTTACTCCCACTTTTTAGAACTTATGTAATTCACACAAACCATTCCACCGGACTTATCAAGGCTAGCGTTTTCTTGCCCGTATTATACCAACGTTTTATCTCCTTTTATTTTAGGCACTTCCAGAGTAAAAGTTTTGTCGTTTGACGAACTGACAAACCATGTGTATGAGGACGACATAGTTCTCCTTGGATCTGATGCAGAGGCTACACAAGCACTACTAGGTCAATTGATGCTTCACGCTTCGGCATGGGCTTTGCAGCTTCACAGCGTAAAGTACTATTGCAGGACTGGTCAGATACGTCTTGTTCTAACCATTACCGAACAGCTAATGAAAGTGGTGAATCGGTTCACCTATCTTGATAGCTGTCACCTCTGGCGGTCACTTCACTGAGGAGTTACTTGCGTGTCAGTATGGTCCGAGTGGTTTTTCAGAGCCTCGACCATCTTTCGAGGCGGCGGGATACCAATGAAAGGTATGATGGATAATGCTGCGATAAGGCCGGTCTTACTGTATAGATCACAGACCTTTCCAGTTCACCATGAGGACATGAAACGCTTGGTCGTGTTTGATCACCGGTACTTGCAGAGCATTTCTGAGGTCCGCCAGTTGGTTTTTGACAAGAAGCCTTCTGGTACATCACTAGACCTTTTGCTTACACGAAACCAGTTCCTTTGGCAGGGTCTTGTCTTCCGTATGCTGGTTTACCGGCTTCCTCCGCGGGCATTATACGCCGTCGCTGCACCGATTCGAAGGAAACCACGAGGCAGCCAGGAATGAAGAAATTGGCTGAGAGACCTGTTCAGGCTGGTGCGCGTCGCTTTCGTGGCTGGGAGTCTCGGGATGAACCACATTAGTGGCTGGAGACTCTATCAGACATGGTGCAGTCGCTTAATCAGTGACGTTTCCCTATTCGGTTCCTTGCACTTAACTGTTAATCTTTATCCCACACCAACTAGTTTTCTCACTACTTTTTTAACTCACTGTTCTTCGTATTCTGCTTGCACTCAGCAGCACTGTATTACTATTGTAAGTTGTTATTATCCTGGAGCCCGGATCACGGTTGTTTAACTGAACTGAACTGTACTTAAAATCTGCAGTGCACCTTAGGATTCCTCCTCCAAGATGGCAATTTGAAAGTTGAGGCATTAGTTTTGTAGAGTTTAGATATAGGACGTATAACAAAGTTTGTACGTACTCCTCTGAAAGTCATAATTTGACCGTTAGCAAACTGTGGTACTTCTTGTCACCACTGGTGACGGTGGACTTAAAGTTATTTGCATAGACTAGCCACATGGCCCCATCGACAAACAAAAATACAGGGACAGTGCATTATAATTAGTAGGGATCATTTTGCATTCTGTCCAACTTGTCTGAAGCCCTTATTTACCTGAAGTCGACCTTAATAGTACCTTCTGACAGTACTTTTTAGACACCTATAGCTAGTCGGAAAATTTAATCTCTATTCGCTCGAGAAACGGAAAATGACCACCAAATTTCTGGGTTTCGCAGCACCCGTTTTATATATGGATTTAGAAACGTGTTCTTGGCTTAAGACATGATTCACTTGGAAATAGTCATGGGTTAGTATTTTTCATTTGGCTCGTATCTGAAGCACACAACTCTGTAGTGTCGTTCTGCCTCCTAACACTGCGCTCCATAACCGGTTTCATTCCCATTTGAACTATCAGGTCAAGGTAGCCGGGTTGCGACTCAAACAAAGAGCGTACAGACTATTGGTCGGAACGTTCACCATCGAACTGTGCAACTAACGCTTGTTAACCTAGTCCGGATCATAGCATTGAGTTTGTATTACTGACCATGCGCGCTAACTCAATTTGGGGTCGCCGAATTGTTTAACAATCTCCAAATCTGTTGGCCTAGACCAACTGACTAGATACAAAAGCCAGCTGACGAAGTCAGCTTAGGTGGTGACGAATTTGGCACGCTTAATTTAAACAAGGATATTCTACAGTATACCTCCAGTGCAAACCGGAAATTCGGACCCCATGTGTGAATATTCTCAAACCATAGGTGATACTCAGCCTACGTCGTGGAGGTGGACAAATTGTTGGTGATAGCAAGTAACCTTGATAAACGCACGAAAGAAACTTGATCAGCTTGCTTGATCAGCTGAATCTAGTGAGGGGACCATAGCTGTAGCGTGTCAAGAATTAACATGAATTCTCTAGAAGCAGCAAGCCTTTCTCACTGTAGTTTATTTTTCCTCTCTACCCGGACGACCAATCACTGCGTTCGTTTGATTTTGGAATCAATCAATCAATCCATAACAGCAGTACATCAGCCATTTGAACTGATGCTTCGCTCCCATACAATCATGATGGTCTATGGAATGAAGAATAAAAAGAGGGAGAGAAGGGGGACTTACCGGAAAATCTTAATGCCCCAAGCAAACCTTCAGCGACAAGGTGCTTACACCTTGTGTAGACAACATACCGTCACAAACAGCTGGCTATCGTGCAAAGATAAGGCAGCATCGGCGAGACAGCTTCCTTGCGGATTTCACCTCCCCGCGTCATAATCAGCCTTTACCCCGCAGATAACTCACACACTTTAAACAGGCAGTCTGACTAGGAGACGGCAGCAGACGCGCCACTAGTGTCGACTGCGAACCATGTCCTATAAAGTCTCGAGCCAAGCACAAGGCGGGTCACGTGGACTCCAGCCCGGAAGGCGAGATGGACCAACGGCACCCAGTTTGGTCGTCAGTGACTTCATTTCCCACTTCTAAGTCAACTTTTGTCCACCTCGAGCGTTGCGCCACCCTACATCTGGCAGACTAACCAGATGACTGCATGCAAATTGCGGGCTAGTCCGTAGTCAAATAAGCCCCTTCTTGTACCATCATGGCAGCTTTTTTCGATAGTGGCTTGCGTTAACTGTGCCCGTGTGCCAAAATGTTGCTTCGGGAGGAGGACAGAAATTTGTTTTTTTGTCAAATAGATGCTTTTTCACGGAAAATGACAGCCGGATGAAAACACGCAACACGATTTTCATGCCGAAGTCC